ACCACCACCACCACCACCACCCTGCATTATTTTAGGGCCTGCATGAGCAGCACTGATCCCAACTTCGTACGTTACATTGGGATTCAAGACAGCGATTTCTCGTGAGTGATGACGCTTGAAAGACTGGGGGGCCTTTCAGGCTACCGTGGATGCCAAACTGCATTATTACCCCATCCATGACGCCGTTCCTTGGACGGCACGATGATTGGGCTCCGTTGGGGTAGAAGACAGGATATTGTGCCGCTGTGCGCGTTAACCCCTCCCGATACGAGGCATCTTCCACATGACTGAAACTTGGATTCGGCGACTGCAGAGGATACTCGCATGTAGTCCGCATGAGGAGGTTCAATTAACTTCACAGCCAATAGAGATGGCTCAAGGGGTATTATGTCTAACGTATCCTGTGCTTCTCCTTGTGCTTTAGCAGACTGGTGACATACAAAGTATAACATGGAGACTGCCTCCTCATGTCGATCGAACCCATATACAAAGCCCTCTGAAGGGCCCGTAGTATCCCTGTATAACCCCTGTAAAGGGACTGACTCTAGAATTTAAGAGACCTTATGACCCCTAGATGACCCCTTTAAGCAACTTCCAGCACTGGGGGTATCTGTAAGCTCAAAGCCTTATCACAGCTCTTCACATGCCACGTCAGCTCTCCTTAGTATTAAAAGCCCCCGCTCCCCTGATATTAAATATTCACAATATGGTTATAGTCCCCCTTAAGCAGATAGAATATGGGATACATGGGGATCTTATTATAATATACCCAAAGCCATATTCTATCGACTTAAGGGGGACTCTATACCATAATGGGAATATTCAGTATTTGGGGGTTGGGGGCTTCACTGTGTTTTAATTTTAGGTGAAGGGGATTCTAGCAAATCCCCGAAGTTCGCGCACTAGCCATGCGTCTTTCAGTCTGAAGCCAGTACTCTACCAGTAGGGCTACCCTAAATCCTTAACCCTAAGCCCCAAATCCTTTAACCCTAAACCCTAAATCCTAAACCCTAAACCCTAAATCCTTAACCCTAAGCCCTAAATCCTTAACCCTAAACCCTAAATCCTGCATGTAGAAACTGTATGGCTGGACACCCCGGCAAGGCACATGAGGCAGCATCTGGTAGGTTAGGCCCCCAGGCACTAACAGTGACCACAAGGGATACTGGTAATCATATACTAAGGTTCTTAAGCCTCTATTAGTGGGCGGGGGCCTAACGAAAGCATAATGTAGCTTTTTCTGAAGCTCCCTCTTTCAGTCCAAAAAGATGTAAGTCGGGTCCTTTGAAAAGCCAAACAAAAATCTGGAGTAGTCTCAGCCTCAGGGTAGCGCAAACCCAAGCTATGATGAGATAACATCGTAAAGTCCCTTATACCTGCCTTTATGGATAAGATCCATTGCATTATGCCCACCTGGGAAAACCCTAAACCCTTAGACCCTTAACCCTAAAGCCTTAGGTCTGGTTCAACCAGATCAAGTCCGTCAAGATGCTCCTCCAGAAGAAGGCAAAGGTTCATGTGCCTCCTCTGCAGATGGCACGTGGCCAGAATAAGATGCTGACTATATGCGCATCATAGCTTAAGTTGAAGTTATAGCATCGGCTCATCAGTGGTCCTTCATGCTCCTGCAAAAAGCAGCTCTCAGAGTGGATTGGAGTTCAAGCGCATTGTGTAGACACCACGCGGTTACGCTTCAGGGTCTAGGGTGTAAAAGGGCTAAGGGTTTAATCGTCCAGGACCCTAAACCCTAAACCATCATGTGGCTCTCTTCCACTCTTTAGGGTTTGGGGTCTAGGGTATAGGGATAGCCGTCCCCAACCTCTCGTGACAAACCTTGCCTTGGTAGGGTCAACGTTGCAAGCTGGGTCAAAGCGCCTAGCCCCCGAACATTATCACTGCAGATATATCTGCGCACTAGATAAGAACCAGAAATAACCCCTCTATACCCATATATTAACCTATATACCCCTAAACCTTGAACCTATATATCCGTAAAATTCACTGAAAACCCCTAAACCCTCAAAGCCTCTATTTGCCCTGCATCCTGCACCAGCCCACTCAGGCAGAGAACAATGACAAGAACACCGCACTTCATTTGGCTGCAATGCTCGGCCACGCCGGGCACCCAAATCAAGGGATTGCCCAAAGGTTTGGGGTTTAAGTATTGAGGTTCATGGTTTGGGGTTCAGGGATTGGGGTTTAGGGTTTGGGGTTAGGAATTTGGGGTTAGAGTTTATGGGTTAGGGAATGTCCATGTTGCTATATGGTAGTTACCCTAACTCGGGGACCCGGATATCAAGCTCCAGAAGATTCAACCCTTACCACGGGCATCTCCTCCCCCACATAGCATATATTTCGGCCCAAGGTAGCTATCTGGGACCCACTCTGGGCTCGAAGTATGTGCTATACACCTACATGGACCCTTTGGGTTACATGAGTTACATATATGTAGTCGCACCACCAAAGATTACAGTCAGAGCGGCAATAACGAGGCTGCTCATGTACTTTTTTACGACCATGTTGATATGATAAGAAGTTTGGCTTGTATCAGAAGCACGCCACACAAAACGCTGTACCATCCGCGGCTTTGAAGCATACTCGCTTGACCGCAGCGGCGCCTCGAAGTACATCAGGGGCTTCACTTCTGGAGCTTAAACGGTTTTTACACCTGCGGGCGAGCAGACGGCGGCAAGAAGCGCAGGGTTTGCTCCACCAAGGCAAGCAGCAGCATGATAACCGCAGGCTGATTTTCCAACTTCCTAGCAGGGCAAAATCCTAAGCCTTGACCTTACTTGTTTGTTAGCAGCGAAAAAGGGAACATAATCCCTATACAGGCCCTATACAACAGAGTCCCATCTTCCCTCCTAACTGTTACTAAGCCCCAGGAGGTCAAGCTTAAAGCTTCAACCCCAGGTCTTGGATCTGACACCTCGAACCTGAAGTCAGAAAGTCCAAATCTGCAAAAAAAGGAGGGACGGGCTTCTACAATTATGGGTACCAATTTTGGGGGGTACCCATATCAAGGATCATATTATAAATCTACTTGGGTGTTCATATTGGGGTCCCAATTTGGGGAAACTACCGAGTCCCTGGCTAATTTTAGCAGCAACCCACGCGCCAGTGGTTTGACCTACCTACCACATGTGGCAGAAAAGCATGGCAAGCAACAACAATCCCGCTGAGAGGTGGTGTATACAGGAGTTATGTAGGGATATAGAGGTTTAGAATTCAGGGTTCAAGGTTCAGGTTTAGGGGGTACATAGGGGTATATAGACGGGCTATATGAGCGAGAGTCTAAGCTCGTACTGTCCCCCTTAAGGAGACCCTGTAATGAGATCCCTATATTATCCTCGTATAAGCCTTTTTACAGAGTTTAGACTATAGTTCAGGGAGTATATAGGGGCGCCTAAACCCCAGACCCCAAAACCTAAACCCCAAACCCTACACCCTAGGGTCTGAAAATCTGTGAGCTGCCTCCCAGGATGATATGGTGGAGTTCTTGCTGTATGAACGGACCACCTTCCTGAAAATGAAGGACAGTGTATAGGCATATATCATAGGTTTTGGGTTTAGGGTGTATATAGGGGTATATTAGGTGCAGAAATCAGGGTCAGGGGTTTAGCATTTAGAGCAGGGTCCTGCACAGGGAGTGTTGTTGGGTGAAACGTTATCTATTAGGTGAGGTTTCGCACTTCCTGATGCTAAAGGCTATTATTTGGGTGCTTGAACCCTTAGGGATACCTACCTAGCTTAAGCTCAAAGCTGAGCGCCCTGAAGCGGCCATCCAGGACGGTACCTCAAAGAAGGATGGGGCAAAGCGAGAAAACAAGCTCCTGGTCACCAGCCCCGTGGCAAGGTTGATGATGGTTTGGGATGTGAAAATCTGGGCCCGAATGGGTTCCTGCGGTTTAGGGTTTAGGGGGCCCACATCCTCTACAGTTTAGAGGTCCTTCTGGCCTCATGGGTTGGGAGATGGTTACATCTGAATCTGATAAGAAGCTGTTTTTTTTCCATAGCTCTTGCAGCAGAATGCCCCCAATCTCGGCCATTGAGCCCACTGCCAGGCACCAACAAAGAGGGGAAGGATGCCCTGCAGCTGGCAGTGGAGAAGGGGCGGCTCGTCTGACTGACGTTGAATCCTTAGGGTTTAGAGTTAAGGGTTTAGGGCTTGGGATTAGGGTTCAGGGCTCGGGATTATGTTTAGGATTTAGGGTTGAGGGCTTAGGGTTTACAATTTAGGGTTCAGGACTTGGGGTTAAGGCTTTAGGGTGTAGGATGTAGTGTTTAGGATCTGGGGTTGGGGTTTAGGATGTAGGATTCAGGGTTTAGGCTTACAGGGTCTAGCTACTTGTGTTATGGCTCATGATCGTTCTTATTGCAAATTATGCAATTTTCCTGGTTGTTATTGTAATTACTATTCATACCGTTCTTATTGTTTAATTTGTTGTCATAATTCTGATGACCATTACGGTTGTCATTATGTAGTTCAGGGCTAAGGGCTTTGGAGTGGTTAGGGCCTGTCAGGGTTCACGATCAGGGAGTGGTCGTAGTGGGTCCAAGCCCCTGAACCATGTGAGCTATAGTAGAAAACGCCTTCGAGGGGGTTGTTTAGGGATTTTATAAGGGACCATTATAGAACTTATGAAGGGGGATGAATACTAGGAGTCTAGACTACAAATCATGTGCAAGTACTGCTATGTCAGTCCACGTCCCGAACTCCACTCTTAATTTTCTGAATGTCAGTAAGCAGTCAGTATGGGAAGGAGGTATGGATCCTATAGTAGCCTCTGATGAACCCAGAATTTGGCAGCTCCCGCTCTGTTTTCCATTCCCGAAATCCTAGACCCTAAGCAAAAACCCAAAGGGTCCATGTAGGAATATAGTATATACCTAGGGTCCAATTTGGGGCCTAGGTATACATTATATACCTACATGGACCCTTTGGGTTAATAATAGATTAGTACCCAGTTGTTTTCAGTTCCTTCGTTCCCTACTGATAGCCAGCAAGCAAACCCTGAACCACTAAACCCTGTACATCCATATAAAGCCCCGCTGTCCAAGAGACTCTAAACCACAAACTCTACATCCTAAACCCTAAAACTCTAAACCCTAAACCCTACATCCTAAACCCTAAATCCTAAACCTTGAACCCTAAATCTTAAACCCTACATCCTAAACCCTAAACCGTGTAAGGCAGTTCTCAGCCTTCCGGCTGAACCTCTTCACCAATGCTCAGCTCTTGGACATCGAGTCCGGAGGCCTTAAACTTCGGGTTTAGGGCTTTGGGATCTATTTTATATCTAGGTACCCCAGTAGTGGGGTTTAGGGTTTAGGGCCCAGTAGTACCCTTTTTCCCTTTTTGTTTGAGGGTCTCCGTCTTAAAGCTGAATAATAAGAAAAAGTGTACCCTTATTATTAAAGGTTTACTGGGGAACCCAGATATTGGGGCTTAGGTAGATAGTACTATAACAGGGTTTACCTTTCTTTTTGTTTTGGGAGCCATAACATGCACTTTGGTACGCGCCGTTTTTGAAAGGCCAGTTCTGAGACAATGAGTTTTCTCCTCCTCTCAATATGTACTGCTTTATTGCAGCGGCTGCTACGCATGTCTTCAGGTCTTCTATGTCTAAATTTTCAAAACACGTCTGACTTCGCTTGCATGGTAGATTTGTTTGGGGCCTACCACACGAAAAGAGGCTTGTGAGAGATGGTGTGGCGCAATTGTTTCGAGAGACTATCAAGGGATGTGTGTCTTAAGTTTTCAGGCTACCATTAAAAGTGTTGACAAACCGGAAGTCCATGTAACTGACCTTATATATCCTTATATAACCCATTATCTAGTAGTTTCCATTTTCTTTTCCATTATCCCAATAAAAACTCAATATTACCCCATAGTCTATCTAGTTAAGGGGACTAACTGTAAGGACCTCCAAGACAGCAAAGCTGGAACCCTAAACTCTTCGACCCTTATAACTTCTGCATTCCCTAGCAAATTTCTTGTCGCCCTCCATGAACGTCCATGTAAACGCTTGATAATATGGACGCGGTCTGGCCTGTTGCAGGCACACCCAAAGAATCTAAGTGCTCAAACGGTATACGATGCGGTTTTGTTATAGGTCTTAGTGTGCATAGGGCTCCTGAGGGACATTGATGAGTGCAGAATATGTCGTGTCCTCTTGCGAGCAACAGTGATTAGAATCCTACTATAAACGGACGGGATGTCAAATTGTGGCCCCCTGGTTCACATCTATCGCCCCTAGAATCCGGGAAACCTAGCAGGGGAACCCCATTTTGACAACTTTCCATGTACTTCTATCTACATGCAAGCCCGATGGGGTCTGGTGTATACACTATCCAGGCACGAGGTCCCTTTAGCAAGCAAAAGGCACATCGTGATTTCCCAGCGCCAAATTTGTGTTCAGTACTTGGGTCAGGGGAACTTAGTGAGTAGGTTAATAGTCCCTATAACTTATAACCCATATAGTAACCCCAATTTTCCCCTCAGTCCCCCTGACCCTGAAACCCTATAACCCATATAGTAACCCTAATTGATCCCCATTATCTACCTACTTACTAAGTCCCCCTGACCCTCCAAGTAACATGCCATAAAAAAAAAAGTCACGGTCAGCATCCTTGCAGCCCGTGGCCAACTGGTACCTGGTGTAGGGTTCAGGGTTTGAGGTTTAGGGTTCAGGGTTTGGGGTGTAGGGTTTAGGGTTCAGGTTTTAGGGTTCAGGGTTTAGGATCTCGGTCTCAAGTCCCCTCCTCCTTCCAAAGCTCTTCATTGCCAGACCGCGCGGAAGCCTTTCTCCAGGCACGGCAGGGTTTAGGGCTCAGGTTGTGTTCTGGCTCCACCCAGTGACAGTCTATGACAGGGATAATATTCAGGGCTATATAGTTGCGTTATAAATATTGAACAACGTATCCAAGGTTTAAAGTGTTTAGTGGTTTAGAACCTGGACAGTTCTGATTGATGGTATCCCTTCATATTGAGGCTACTGCTGCACAAGACAGCACTCGGAGTTTGGTGGACGTTCAGGGCGGTAGGGTTATTGAAGCAATTTGAGGGGTCCCTCGGTTCTTAAGGTTTCAGACAGATTGACCTACCCCCCTCATGTCAAAAAGAATGCAAGGGTTGCGGGATGGCAAGTATGGGGCAGGGCGCTTGTAGCGCTTCTCGTGGGCTGGTCTTTATTTCCAAGCAATAGGTTTAGGCAAATCCTCCCTACATCCTAAGATCCGTATCCTCTCATGGCCCAAGTACAGGACGCTTACAGCTTGGGTGTTGCCCCCGATTCTGTAGTAGTTGGATAATGTTTATGAATCTAGTTATATACAGCCCTTAATATGATCCCTAATATAGACTGTTACCCTAAGGGTCCAAGTACCCCATAAACATATAATTACCCAAAACCCGTACCACAATTACTAGTAGCCAAAATCCACGTACCTAATTATTGGGTACTTGGACCCTCTGGCTTACAGGGTGGGGCAGGACCCAACTTAACTTACAGCATGGGCTGATAGCTTGGTGTCGTTACTGGCACTTGGTCCTGCTGTCTGTCAGTGGGTTGGACCTGCTTCGGTCCCATCCCCGCCGCGCATGCCCATTTGCTTTATGCGGTTCTACGCAACCCACTATTTAGACCGCTGATTAATACACCTCCCCTTAATAGGGATTATAGTAGGGATCCTAAGATTCAGGCCCTTAAAAGGAGGGCTTTTTATTAATCAGGGGTCTACATTACCCCTTAGCTAGATGCAGACAATTCAGATTTTACATATGAACGCTACACTCTAAGCCCGTAAGTCTAAGCCCTGAACTCCAAGCAGTGACCTGGGACATGGGGAGGTTGCACGCAACTGCCCCGATGCTGCAACAGCGCTCCTTAACTGCAAAGACGTGACTATTAGGGTTTGGGGATTTAGGGTTTGGGGTCTAGGGTTCAGGGTTCGGAGTTGAGGGCAGGGGCTTTTTTCTGTGGGTGCCCGGTTCAAACTAGGGGCTCTTCTTAAGGTTTGCATGCTTGAGGGTTGAATGTTTGTTAAAAGCATGGTACTGTTGACAACCCATTGTGTGTAGCTGGGCATTTGTCAAACTCTGCTCTATTTGACAGCCAGTAGGGACTCCCTGAAGCCCCTGAAACCCTCCAATATCCCCTGATTCCGCAAAAGCCGCCTGCCAGTTTGATAAACTCCAAGCTCTTAACCCCAAACTCTAAACCCTGTAAACCCTAAAACCCTATAAACTCTAAGCCCTATCAACTTAAAACCCAATGAACTCTAAACCCTAAGCTGCATGGGAAGCCCTCTGGGTTCCAGGCTGCTTCGCTCAGAGTACCCGGACTCCAAGCACGCCAGGAACTTCGCAGATGGGTTCCTTGGAGCAAAACTTAGGGTTTAGGGTTTCGGTTTAGGGTTTAGGGTTCCTTGGAGCAAAACAGACAGCGGTGGTTGTGTCATTGATGGCGGCGGTGGCGGTGGTGGTGTCATCTCAATTACGTGTGAAGCCTGGATTGGGGCGCTGGCATAGTCAAAAGCCCAAAGCAATGCTTCAGCAAGAAGACTTGGCACTAATGTTCCTGTGTAATGCGTATAGACGGATAGTAGCGCAGCGCACCCATGATTCCTAGTCTGCTAACCTTGACTTCTACGCAAGTCGCCAAGAAAGACTGCAGGATGCAAGGGGTTAGGGTTTAGGGTTTTTGCTTAAAACTTGATTGCAAGTCCCAATTTCAATTGGCTAATGCGGGATGCTACAGTTGTACAAAGGTTACAAAGGACTACTACAGGTAATTACCCAGGCTTCTACAATACTCGTTCTTCGCGACACAGGTTTTGAAGACTTGGGAGCGGTTTGTGAAGACTTTAGGTGGACCCCCAACCCTTTAATACTGACTATAAGGGATAACACAGATCATATTAGGGTCCTCTTATATTCCTGTTTTACCGCTCTTACAGGGTGGAGGGGGGGGGTACTCCTAATGAAGACTGTGTTTCTAAATGCGTTATTTTGCCCTGCTGGGAAGGCCGCCCCTATACCCGGCATGGTTCTGTACTGGCTGGGATGCTGACCTGAAGTACCTAAACCCTGAAACCCTAACCCCTAACCCCTAAGTCCTGAACACGCACAAATCGAGAAGTGTACCAAGGTAAAAAAATCCTACACCCTAAACCCTAACCCCTACAGCCTAAACCCTAAACCCACCATTTCTTCCTGTAGTGGCCAGTTTGCAAGGTTCGACGAAGTCGAAGTGCGGAGTATTCCCATCAGTGGCGTGGCCTATAACGTGGTACATAGTCCCCCTTAAGTAGATAGAATATGGCCTTGGGTATGTTATAATAAGATTCCCATATACCCCATATTCTATCTACTTAAGGGTGACTATAAGGTTCTGCCATGCTTCCTGAGTCTTGAGTGGGCAGGGCTGTTGTCACAGTCTAATATGTCTGTGGTTTGCTTGTGTCATGCCAAAGATCTGTTCCTTTGCGATTTATTCTGCAGATGTTTCATTCACCTAGACGCTCTGATGCGGTTCTGACGGGACAAGTGCTGCCGCGTAGCCCATGGGACGCCGTTTGCTTGAGGATCCAGCTGGATGTAGGGAATCTTGCGCCAGAACTTGAAGTGTTCGATGCCGAGAAATATGCCACCTTCCTGCGGGTCTGCCATCTAAATGCAGCCCTCAGCTTTTACCCCTGAGAAGCACTACCTTCACTTGTTAAGTCCGCTTTACCAGATCACAACGGCCAATATGTCGTATCCCATAGGATTACCCCAAGGGTCCAAGCACCTATTACTGTAATCATATACTTGCCCAAGACCTGTACTATAATTTCTATTCGCCAAAACCCAAGTACCTAATTATTGGGTACTTGGACCCTCTGGGTTATCTGCTGCATTTGAGGCCCCAGCTGGACTCACAGCATCCAAAGTGCTGTGAACCGTGAGCCTCCTGTGATCACGGCCGGGTGCTCAGGTTGTATCCCAAAGGGTCCATGTAGGAATATACAATTTGGGGCCAAGGTATACACTATATACCTACATGGACCCTTTGGGTATGGGGTTTGAAATGGATCCGTCAAGTGTTGAGAGCTTCACCGCGGGGAGTTGTCTCGTGTCTTGTTTACTATTGTAGACGAGGGCTTACCACCACGTAGAATGGCAAGCTTTTGCGTGGGCCTTTTTTGGCAAGATTATCGCACAGTAGAGAAGCACATAGTCTCGGCGTAAGTCTCTATAGTCTATATTGTAGGATGCGCGTCAAGAATCTGTGCCCTTTCCAACCCGCCATTGGATTGCTGAGCCTGCAGATCAATGTTGCTTCGCGTCCCACATCTGAGCTGACCATAAAAATCCTCAAATATAACCCCAATATATACCCTATAATCCCCATATAACCCCTATCATCCCTGAAGTGTCCCTTTTATTTTCGCTATCCCAATATAACCCCAACATATACCCTGAAATCCCCACTATATACCCCCTATAATCCCTGTAGTTTCCAATTTATTTTCCATTATCCCAATATATATCCCCACGCCCAGAGCCTCAGACACCATGAAACCATCAGGGTTACAGTTGCTTGCACAACCCGAGGGAAAACACACCATGACGATCCTAGAGAGCCCACCAATAAGGTTTCGGGTTTAGGGCTTTCTTTCTTCTAGCCCTACAGAACAAACTGCTATCCCCTAGACTCCAAGCCTCCAACCCAAACTCCCATGGCGAAGCTCTCAGCTCTAAATGGTGATTTCCCAAAACAAGGGGACCCCAATATAGACCTCAAAATACTATAGTTCTTGTTATAGGGACCTCCAAAAAGTACCCCTAATTTTGGGAAACCCCCAAATGATTATTTCCATGAACCCTTAACACCCAAAGGGTCCCAGATACCCATATGGGGAATACTTACCAAACCAATAAGGAAATTACTATTACAGAAACCATACTTTGTACCATATTGGTACTTTGGACCCTGTGGGTCAACACCCAACCTTGCGCAAGGTCAAGAAGCTGTGCGAGCTCATTGAGGCGGCTCTGGATCAACTTAGGGTTTAGGGTGTTGGGGTTTAGGGTTTAGGGGGTTGGCAGCTTAAAGGGTTCAGGGCTTTATGTTTATGGTTCTTTGGGTTTGGGATTTGCAGAGGCGGCATGGGATTTGCAGGAATAGGAACAGCAATCGTGTAGGGCCTCCAAAGGTTGAGAGATTCAAGACCTCTTGGGGATCCAAGGAATAAGGGAGGAGGGAGCTAAGATCACATTATCCTCCACTTTCTTGGCCCTGCTTTCGAAAGAATATGATCCCTAAATACTACGGTAAGTATGGCCCTCTGACCAAAACAATATGCACCCTATACTCTATACATAGTAAGTATCCACATACATGAATACTCCGACCTCGTGGGTGAAATGGGATGAAGGCCCAAGGTGGTAGCGGTCGGCCATGTGTCGAGAGCTGAGGCTCAGCAACCCCAAGCCCTAAACCCTCAATTGTTGTGCTTCATGCTTGGCAGCATGGGGGCGGCTGTTTGGTGATCATGTTGAGGAAGCAAAAGACACGAATGTCAATGTCAAGAGGAATTGTCCCTGCATAAGGAAATCCAATCCCGAAAAGCGTGACGCGTCTCCAGCCAAAACATGAGTGCCAAACACGAATGCCCCACATGCTCAATGTTGACGAAACCTTACGCCCGCCTGTGAGCCCGAAGGCGGAATGAAGGCAAGCCTTGCAATCACCATTATTCGAACTCCCATCAAAGGCATCCGTTGAGATGCTGAGCCTCCAGGGTCTCCCGAGGGTGAATGTCCGAGAGCGAAACTCCTATGTGGAGATGCATAGCTGTCATCTGGGCATAGATAAAGATCCCAGCGATCAAAACTCTAGGCTCTACTGAGAACCTCTTCCATAGACCTTTAGTGTCACAGAGGCCGAGCTAAACCCCTAACTCCCAACCCCAAACCTGAAATAATCTCTGCAGGTCGCGCCACAGTCGGCTGTCGACCTGTTGGACATGCTTACCGCCAAGCCGAAGGACAGGTCAGTTTTGATCTTGACACAGGTGCTGTGGTTGGAGGAACTCTTATACCAGCTTGGGTTGCTTTATTACAATTTAAGATGTACATAGAGTAGAGCAAGATTTCCTCTAGCCACAGCATTGCAGTGGAGCCCTGCAAAAGGGTACTCAAAAGCAGAGACGCTGCCTGTGACCTTTAGGTACACCTAGCCTCCGCCGGTGCAGATGACGCTAACGAAGACAACCCTCTCCGTTTCCCAAAGGGTCCAAAGTACCCATATGGGGAATACTTACCCAAACCAAAGGGGAAATACTACTACAGAAACCATACTTTGTACCATATTGGTACTTTGGACCCTTTGGGTTTGTATGAGGGCGATCTGTGTGGGAGCTGGGAGATTCAGGTTGTGTCATATTGGGGATACATTGTTAAGTAGAATTATAGGGGTTATATAGGAATAATGGAAAAGAAAATGGAAACTACTATAATGGGTTATATAGGGGTTATATAGGGAAAATGGAAAAGAACGTGGAAGCTACTACTTAGGGCTTAAGGTTAGGTGCGTGTGGTAGCAAGCCCTTTCTCAGACAAACATGATGGGCACCATGAACATCACGACCGAGCCAGCTACTTTCCAGGCCATCTTAATTAGCAGAAATCATAGGGTAGTTTTCATAAATGAGCTGAACCTAAAACAGACCCCAAATACGATAATGATTAGATAGCCTATTACGGTGATGCCTAAAAGGTGCCCTTCCCCATGTCAACCGCTTCCATTTCATTTTCTCGTGTGGTTTTAAATTTGATTTTCCATTGTTGGGCGTAATATAGCCTTGAGCCCTATATGACCCCAAAGACTCCGCATATAATCCTCACATTTTCCAATCATATATTTTTTAACACCCAAACCCCCAAAAACAGTTTTCCTTGGCCTCCAGGAGGGTAACAAATTCCACAGGCCGCTGCCAGTGCCTCCCTCGGCCTCGGTTTTGGTTTAGGATTTAGGGTTGGGTGTGCTTTCAAGTGTCAGAACTGACCCTACTTAGAGAGTCAGGGGCATTTAGTAAGTAGGTTAATAACCCATACATCCCATATAGTAACCTTACTTATCCCCATCATTAACCTACTAATTAAGTCCCCCCTGACCCTCCAAGTAGGGATCCGTGGCTTAGTGTTTAGGGTTTGGAGGTTATGGGATCCAAGTCCAAAAATGTTGCCTATATTGGGCCCTAAAGTTTGTAAATCGTACGCTTATTGCTTTACGACTTGGATCCCTAGGGTTGGCTTAAGGAATACAAAGCTCTGTTACTCCGGGTTTAGGGTTTCAGGGTTTAGGTTGTGCTGAGTTTGGCCTTAGAAGCTTTAGGGCTTATGGCTGGACCCCAAGAGTAGATAAACTTGTGGCCCACACCCTAAATAGAAATGACCCAAAAAGGCTATTGTCTCGCCGTTTCTGGGGTTCAGGTAAGGACTGCCTGGGTGGCGATGGGGCTACAGGTTTGGGGTTTTGTGTGGTCCAGTGCACAGGCACGCTTCCCCATGGCTGGGTTCGGCTTCTGTGTGTTAATAATATCGACACCCAGAAGAGCTTGCAGACAGTGAGGGCTCCTGCAATCTGTTTGCGCATCTGAGAGGCTTTAGCTGGCTGCTTTCAGTTTTTGAGGGTCTGTAGCTTTTACATTTCTGAACTCGGAAGCTACGAGCTGTAGTGCTTGCATCTTCCTATGGTTGTTGCGGCGTGCTCTTAGCTTCCAGTATATGACCGAGTCTCGCACCGGGCCAAAATCATGTTGCTGTGGTCTCTGCAAGATGCAGATGTTCGCCCCTTCTGCAGAGCCTCCAATGAGGCTTACAAAAGAGTTTCTAGAATGCGAGAACATGATGAGGGGAGCAACGGCTTTGACTCGAGGGATCTTTAGGAGTATTGAGAGTTTCATAGCCTTACCTCCATCAAAAGACTCCATGGCCATGCTTATCTTCGCGCCCAGGTTCGCGCGAACATTCCAGTGGATCAAGAAGCCTGCCGACTCTCTTGCAGGGAGCTTATGCTGTTCGAGAAAAAACAGGTTTTGAGTGAAGGTTCGCCTGTTCCCAGATCTGGATAGTGTTAAGACCCGTTTCTTGCTCTGGACTCAGGGTCTCGTCGAGGTTAGGCCTTTTTGTTCAGAGGTCCCTTTTTTGACACAAGAACCCTTCACCAAGGTGTGTACATCACCGAGATGGAGTGGACTTGGAATGCATCCGAAACAAGACCTCCGGCATGGCAGGCCGGCTTCGTGGAATTCTATACCCTAGAGATCCAAATAGCCCAATGCAGGTAATAGTTACAGTCTTTAGGGCCCAATTTGGATCCCTAGGGTTTAGGGTTTTGGGCATCTCTCCGACATGGGGATTCTACTGTTTTTCTGGTTCATAGCCCTCTATATATGCATGTGTTTATATATATATACACACACATATATATGTATATGGTAGCCCCCCTCCCCCAAGATCTACGCCTAACCTGTTTTATCTTCATGAATGCTTCATGTGCCATCTTCGTGAACATATTGTATCAGCCGAAAACACTGTAAATAGCGATGAATCCTATACTTTTGAATGAAATTAGTCATAT